TCGGCTCCCGACGGCCCAAGACAGCCCCAAAGGTCCCCAAGATATCCCAAAAGGCCTCCGAGATGGCCCCAATGACGGCCCTCGAGGCCCCCCAAACGGCCTGCAGAGGGCCCGCAGACGGCCCAAGGGGTCTTCAAGGCTCCCACGATAGCCTCTGACACTGCCAAGCTGACGCCAACACAGTGCAGCATCGCCACATGACGTTTCTCAGGCGTGAGGCGCCGAGGGCAACCTCGGCCCACTGGAAGAGGACAAGGGAAGCGTCGCTGAACATCACTGGAAGAGGACAAGGGAGGAGGAGGGAGGAGGAGGAGGAGGAGGAGGAGGAGGAGGAGGAGGAGGAGGAGGAGGAGCGGGCCCCCTTCACGGCCGCCGAAGGGGCCTCCACCATGGCCGCCCGACGGCCCGCCAACACCCCCTCCTTCCCCTCGCCGATCCGCCGGTGGCCGCGCCCTCGGCTGCGCGTTTTGCGCCTCGTCGGGCGCCTCGCGGGTCGTCCCGTCGTCTCTTCTTCCTCCCCCCCACGTGGGTCCCCCCCCGAAGGGCTTCCACAGCGGCCCGGGGGGAGGAGGTCTCGTCCGACAACGGCCGCATCGGCGCTCCCCAAAGGCAGGGGGCGGCGGTGGTTCGCTGTAGGAGTCTTCGGTCCGCCGCCACCTATGGCTTGCCACGGGTGTGTGTGTGTACATTGGAGGCCAGTCCACAAGAAACCTTCCACAAGAAACCCAACCCTGACACACCAGGACGTCCATGGATTCGTTTTTGCGTGGGAGCGTCACGCCTTCCATTGCAAAACCATCGAGCCCCCTAGAAACCCAGGGCACCCTGGAAGCAAGCAGGGTGTTTCTTGGCATGGGTACCCACTTTACATTCTCAGGTCGTCGGCCTTCCTGCTCCAGACGGCCCCGAGCCGGCCTCCAAAGGCGGCCAAGGTGGTCTTCAAGACTGCCACGATGGCCCCAGGAGCGCCCAAGGTGGCTCAAGTACGGGCCGAGGTGTCCCCAAGGTAGCCTCAGGAACGCCGAAGACGGCCCAAGAGGGCCTCCAAATACTCCTAGCAGGCCCCCAAGAGGACCCCCAGGAAGGCCCCAAGAGGATGTTTGCATGATTCTGGCATTTGCGCATTTTCAGCTTTCTGACGGCCCAAGACGGCTCCAGAGGCCGCCAAGATGGCCCCAAGAGCGCCCAAGAGGCCTCCGAGCCACCACCTTGGCGGCCCAGGAGGTCCCCAAGACGGCCCCCAGAGGGCCCCAAGACGGCCCAGGAGGCCTTGAAGGCCCCCACGATCCAAGACTGCCCGCAGCGCCCCAAGAGGGCCCCAAGTCGGCCCAGAGAGGCCCTCGAGGCGGCTTCCGACTGCGTCAGTCGGGCCAGAAGCGCCCTCAGACGGCCAAATTGCCTCCCAGTCAGCTGTCAAAGGCTTTCAAGAAGCCCAAGGAAGTCCCCAAGACACCTCCAAGAGGCCCCGGGGAAGCTCCCAGGAGACCCGAGGTGTGCCCCAAGAGGCTCCCAAGAGGCCTCCTCCTCCCCCTCCGTGTTCCTCCCTCTCCTCCTTGTCTTCTTCCTCCTCTAAGTGTTTCCCAAGGGATTTCCACAACGGCTGGGGGACGACATCGTCCGATAGATTTGCCGAACTATGGTCACGTTCGGCCACATCGGCGCTTCCAAAGGGCATGGGGCGGCGGTGACTTGCTGTAAACGTCTTCGATCCGCCGCCATCTATAGCTTGCCACGGGGGTGGATGTACGTCGTGCCGGACTTTAGGTTGATTTGGTCCTTTTGAACGATTCCCAGTCGGGTGTCGGTCGATCGCGCCAGTCCTGCGGAAAAGAGGCGGCCCATCGGCTTCCCGCCCCATGCGGACCCGTAAATTCCCAGATCGTCGGTTTTCCGCTCCAGACGGCCCCAAAATGGCCTCCAAGACGGCCAAGGCGGACTTCAAGACAATTACGATGGTCGGCAGAGAGGCCAAGATGGCTCCAATGTGTCTCCATGACCGGCTGAGATGCCGCCAAGAGGGCCTCAAGGTCGCCCAAGACGGCCCGAGAGGCCTCCGAGACGACCTCCAGGACTGCTCCAAGAGGCCAACATAATTGATTTGCCGTAGGTGTTTGAAGGATTCTGGCGTTTGCTAATTCTCGGCTTTCTGACTGCCCAAGACGGCCCAAGAGGCCACCAGGATGGCCCCAAGAGCGCCCAAGAGTTCTCCGAGATACCACCGAAGACGGCCACAAGAGGGCCCCAGTACGGCCCAGAAGGCCTCCAGAGGCCCCCAACAGCGCCTCAAGAAAGCTCCATGTCGGCCGAGAGGGGCCCCCTAAGACGGCTTCCGTCCGACGGCGTCAGACGGGCCAGGAGCGCCCTCAGACGGCCAACGAGCCTTCCAAGGAACCTGCAAAGGCCCCAAGGAAGCGCAAGGAAGTCCCCAAGAGACCTCAAAGAGGCCCGCAGAAGGCTACTATTAGGCCAAAATGGAAACATGGAGAACCAACACCAACATTACCAGGGACCACCAGCGGGAGGAGCCAGGAAGGGGTCCCCCTGGTGGTGTGGCCCCCCCTCGCTCGGGGCATCCCCTAGCCCCAGCTCGGGGAGACATCATGGACAGCATCGCTGGTGGTGGCACCCTGGTGGTGTTGGTGTCGCATCTCCTTTCCCCCACAAAGAGAACCCCAAGAGGCTCACCAGAGGCCTCCTCCTCCCCCTCCTTTTTCCTCCGTCCCTTCCTCGTCTTCTCCTTCCCCCACGTGTTCCCCGAAGGGTTTCCACAACGGCTGGGGGAACACATGATTCGTCTGATAATTTGGCCGAGCTCTGGACGCTACGTTCGGCCACATCGGCGCTTCCACAAGGCAGGGGGCGGCGGTGACTCGCCGTTGGCGTCTTCGCCAATGGTGGCACAGTGTTCTGTCTGTTCTCGAATCGAGGTGCTCTTCACGCCGTTCTGGGATTATCGTCGGCCTGCCTTCGTGCCCTCCTCGGAGCCCTCGTGGCCTTCCCGGGGCATCCTGGTCTCCCTTCAGGGTCGGCGCAACCGGCTGTAAGACCTCTACAATATGCTGGCAAAGGACACCACCATATGCACCTGCGAGTAGTGCAGAACATAGATTTGGGACGCAGAGCGTGTGAGAGGTGTGCCAAATTGCGCGCGGCGACGCCATGCGGGCATTGCCACTGGGGCCTTCTGGGGAAATGCTTGTGGGGCCAACGAACTTGTGAGGGGTGTGCCAAACATGTGCGGGGAGATGCCATGAGAACTTTGCCACTGGGGCCGTCGGTGGAGCGCGGCTGATTCAAAACGAAGACCCGACACCACAAGATGGTCTGGAACAAACAACACAAAAAGGCCGGGACGAGGGTCGAGCCCTCGCCCTCCTCCTCCCCCCCCCGCAGCCTCCTCCCTCTTCCCCCCCCCCCCCCCCCGGGAGACGCCAGCGGGGAACGAGGTGAGGGGGAGGGGGGGGAGGGGGGGGCCGACGAGAGGAGCAGGTAGGGAACCAGGCAGGCAGAGACAAAGCTACAGCCCTCCACACGGGGGTCGTCCGGCCGCCCGGCGGCGGCGTGTGGCCCGATGGCGCGCGCGGGCCCGCCGTCCCAGGGCCGCCTCCTCGCCCTCCCCGCTGCCGGCCACTGCCTGCCTGCTCGGGCATCCGCTCCCCCCGGGCCAATCCAGACCGGGTCAGTCCTCCTCTCCTCCTCCTCCTCCTCCTCCTCTCTCTCCTGCAGGATCCTGCAGGGTCCTGCGCCCAAGCCCGGGTCAGTGCGCCCCTGGCGCGGCAAGATCCTGCGTGGGACCGCCGTCTCTTGAGCCCCCGACCTACCCCCCCCCCCCCTCACCGCCCCCTTCGCCTCGGCGGGGCGGTGCCACTCGCCCGTCCGCCCTCGAGGGGGCGCGCTGCGGCAGGCGGCTTCTCGAGGGGCAGCGGCGGCAGCCCCGAAGGACCCCGTGTAGCCGAGCGCGCAGTCCACCTTCACCTCCGAGGGGCGAGAAACCATTCCCGACCATCCTGTGGCGTTGGGCCCTCGCTCTGAATCCGCAGCACCCCGCGTTCACACATTCCTCCTCCTCACCCACCCCGCCGCGAACTCCTCCCACCCCTCCTGCCTCTGCCCGTCGCACGGCCATTTCGGCACACACCGCACACGCTTCGTGGTCCCAAAAGGAGCTCCACCCAGGGCCCCAGTGGCAGGGTTCGCATGCGTCTACCCCATCCATGAAGGCACGCCCCTCACACGTTTCATGGCCCTATATGCAGCCTTACCCAGGGCCCCCGTGGAAGGGTTCGCATGCGGCTCCCCCGCCAATTTCGACACGCCCCTCACACGTTTCGTGGCCTCAAAGAGAGCTCCACCCAGGACCCCAAAGCAAGGTTCGCATGCCGCTCCCCCGTCCACTACGACATAAAAGGGGTGGAGGCGTTGCGTCATCCATCCCCCCCCTCTTTGCCGCCCCCGATTTTGGGGAGGGGCGAGGGGAGAATGGGGGAGATGACGCAACGCCTGACCCCTTATGGATTGTCTGGGTCCGGCTCCACTGACTGTGGACGCACTATGGCAGTGCCTGGAACACACTTGGAGGGCGGGGGGGGGAGCGTCACGCTCTGGGGGGGGGGGAGGAGGAGGAGGAGGAGGAGGAGGAGGAGGAGGAGGAGGAGGAGGAGGAGGAGGAGGAGGAGGAGGAGAGGAGGAGGAGGGAGGGAGGAGGAGGAGGAGGAGGAGGAGGAGGAGGAGGAGGAGGAGGAGGAGCATGAGGAGGAGGAGGAGGATGAGGGGGAGGAGGAGGAGGAGCGAGGAGGATGAAGAAGGAGAAGGAGGAAGATCAGGAGGAGAGGAGGAGTAGGAACAGGAGGAGGAGGAGGAGGAGGAGGAGGGGGGCGAGGGAGGGCACAACGCGCGCAACGGCCCAGAAAGTAAGCAAACGCTCTCGCTCTCTCCCTGTCTCCGGGCTCCAGGACCGCCCCCGCGGAGCGATGCGGCAGGAGAAATGCTGCAGAAAGACGAGGTCGAGGGCTCCCGCCGTGATCTTGCGCGGCCAGAGTCTATACAGATCGACCGCCTGGGGAACCCATCTCCCAGGACTCCCCAGGGCGGGTCTCTGTCTTGTCGTCTTCGTTCTGTGTGCGTTTTCCATCGTTCTGTCTTTGGTCCGCCGTTGCTGCAAGACGAGCTAACAACGAAAACTTGCCACGAAATCGCTCAACTACTGTTCTCAGCTCGAGCCTTGCGGTGGGCGTTTGCGCTCCAAGGGGCCCAAAATCCCACCATCCCTTTAGGGCGTGAGTGGTTTAGGGCGCTTCCTCTTCCAACCCCCTTCTTCCCCGTCGGGGAGGGGGTTATCATTGTTCCTTATTATTGAACGCCTCCTGCCCGAGGCGACGGGCAGCCAACCAGGACCAATGAGACCCCCCCACCATACCTGTCAAAAAAATGTGAAGCCCACTTTGGGGCAAAATCTTGGGTCATGGTCGGGGGGTGCGCGAGCACTTGTACTGTTTTTGACAGGGACGGTGGGGGTGCCCGCATATCGCCTGCGCAACAACTGGATCCTGCGCGGGCACCCCCCGATAACTGCGCATTTGCATTTGACTGGGACGGCGGGGGTGCTGGCATATTGTCTTCTACGTGCAGGCCAACCAAACGTTATGATGGCCACCCAGCCGCGAGTGCGCACTGGTTCTCGACGATGGTGGTGGGAGTCGACACGTTTCCCGATGTGTACTGCCACGTGCGCGCACCTGGCACAGGCCCTGCGCGTGCCCCGGACGTTGCGCAACTGGCGCGGCTGGAGCATGCGGCACACGTGGCGCACGTGGATCGCGCGGCGCATCTGGCGCACCAGGCGTTCCGACACGCTTGGGCCACATTGGGTGCCTGGCGCACCCGTCGCGCGTGGCGCGCCTGGCACGCATGGCGCACCTCGCCCCCGCGTTGCGCACATGGGGTCTGTTTGGATCCCATTAGCTGTTCATGCAAAGACTACCGCTGAACACGCTGCGGCTCGGGTGCCACTTATGTGTTGGGAGAGCGAATGGGAGTGAGCGAAACGGCTGGTGGGCGAAGAGGATGTCTTGATCACTGCTCCTCATTAATATGCACCCCCTCCCCCGCCGACTGGGACAAGCCGAGGCATACCACCACCACCTCACACCCTCCCAATCAAAAAAAACACAAAATTCAGTTTGCCTCCAAATGTGAAGCATGCGCGGAGGCCCCGCGACCACTTCGCATTGGTTGTTGATAAGGACGGCGGGGGTGCCGTCATATTGCTCGCTGCGCGCAGGCCAACCATCCCAGGTCAACAGAACAAAAAGTAATGCACTTCGCCTCCGCATCTACAGCATGCGCGGGCGCCCCGCGACGACTGCGCATTGGATTTTGACAGGGACGGCGGGGGTGCCGTCATATTGCTCGCTATGAACAGGCCAACCATCCCCGTCAACAAACAATACGGAATGCACTCCGCCTCCACATCTAGAGCATGCGCGGGCGCCCCGCGACCACTGTGCAGTGGATGTTGACCGGGACGGCGGGGGGGCCGTCATATTGCTCGCTATGCGCAGCCCAGCCATCCCTGTCACAGATTGCGCTTCGCCTCCACATCCAGAGCATGCGCGAGCGCCCCGGGACCACGTTGCAAGTGTTTCCGGCAGGGACGGCGAGGGTGCCGGCATCAACGTGGAGCGCGTGCCGCACCTGACGCGCCGAGCCCGATGGGGCCTCCCGGGTGCCCTGGTGCACCCGGAACCCGCGGCGCACATGGCGTGCGGGGCGCTCCTAAGCAGCAGCATGCTGAGACTCCCTCGGATGTCATGTGTTTGGAGAGGGCGGGTAGGAGTGAGCGAGACGGCTTGCGGGCGAAGGGGGGGGGGGCTCGACCACCCCCCCCCATACCTCCTTCTTCTGGACCTGGAGGGCGGGGGGCAAGGTGTCAGAGGGTGGGTTTGGGTGCATCCAAGAAGGCCTCCGAGAGCCCAAGATGACCTCCAAGATGGCCCAAGATAGTGCAAGATCGCTCAATATGGCTTCCAAGAGACCCCGAGACCAATCCAAGACGGGCCCAAGTGGCCTCGGAGACTCCCAAGGAGGCCCCCACGAGACCAACATTCTCAAAACACCAAAAAGATCCATCTCGCATTTTCGCTTCCGATGGGCTCCCGAGGTTATATATATGTATATATATATATATATATATATATAATCCTGGCAATGCCAAACTGTACACTCACTTCCGCCTGCGGGTCTTGACGACCTGATTCTGGCGGGCCCACTGGCTTCTGCCGGGAGGTTGGCCCTTGGCCACCTTCTTCAGCATCCTGGCGCCATAGTCACTCAGGTGACCAGCACATTGACGCTTCAAATTGCGAGCCGCCATGGCCGCAATGAAACCACACGTGAAACAAACTGTGGTGCCCCATGCTTTGCTGTAACCTAACATGTGGGACGGGTGCAACCTTTGACCATTTACCACAGCGCCTTGTGGTATCATAACCACTCCATTGAACAACCCTGCGTGGCAAGGAGTGCTCAGGAACTGCCGAGCCAGGGGGCGGGGGGGCGAGCCTCCACAAACTTTGCATTGGATGCGGTGCCTCCTACCCTCCTCAGGCGCGTGAGCGGTTAGATCCAACTGGATCTTATACTCCTTGAAATGACGCTGCACAACCTTTTCTCGTGAGGCCCTGTCCCCGTCCGCCTCAATCGCAGACAAAAGAGTGTGCCCGAGGTGGCCCCGAACCTGGAAAGCAATCCCCTGGGCGAAGGACCTGCTGACTCGGTCCTTCTCTGGCGCGCGCAAATTATCTGCCCACGAGCTGGCGATACGGTCTGCAACTTCGTTGACAAGGTAGCGCAGCTGATCCGCACCTGCGGCAGAGACGTGCTCGGCACTCCTGTGGCTCTCGACCTTGACTACGACCAATCCCCGTTCAGGGTGCGTCTGAATGAGAGCTCTGAGCTGGTGCCACACGTCGAGGTGATACTGTGGATTGATCCCTGCCCTTACCTTGGCAAAATTGTTAACAACATACGAAGAATCTGTGACAAAATGAGCCGAGGCAGTCGGAAACACCGCACGCACGAACTCAACCAAGCACAAAACCTCGCCTCGGTTGACCGACTGCCTCGACCCTGGGATGTTGCCAAATCCAGCGGCGTGCGTGCGAAGGCGCTCGATCGAGTACTGTCCGTCCTCGTCGGGCCCTCTCAGCACCACCCAAGACCAGGCAACTCTACGAAGCATAGGATCTTGAGTATCCTGGCCGCCGCTCGCGCCCCCACCACCGAAAACAAAACCGTTCACAACGGCCACATCCAAGTCATCACCCAACCTACGGAAATCAGCAACTTCGGGTGGCGGGGGGGCGGCGGTCCAAGAACTGGGCGTCAGCCCTCTGATCCAGAAACTAGGATTGCGCTCTGCATCTGCTCTGGCTCTGCGAACTACGAAATCTGAGACCTTGCGAAAATCTGCATTCTGGGGGCACCCCCAAGCCCTGCGAAGGTCTGACTCGAGCACATGCTGGCATCTGCGACAGCGGCTGCCCTGCGAAAGGTTACACTCCTGCATGTGGCAGCGGGTCCAACTGTTGCCCGTGGCGACCGCACGTAGGATGCCAGCCCACTTATGTTTGCCTTTCTTCTTGAGCCTCCTGGGGCCCCTTCTGAAATCAAAAAGATCTGGGACCAACTCAAGGCCCTGGCCATTCCACGAATTTTGAGCGGCAGCAGACCACAGCTTGCGTTCCATGCTAGCTGCCCGAGCCTCCTTGATGACAACAAGATCAACCTTACCCCGCCCGAGCAGGGACCCGTCAATAGCATACCTAACTCCAAGATCGCACTCCCAAGCCCACGGCCCCCAGGGCTCCCAACCAAGACCAAGCAGAGTGGCAATAGTCGCCGCAGCTGGGGTGGCGACACCCCTCCACCTGTGCCTGGCGGGCCTGTCCCGCAGACGCGCGAGAACCTTTCTCCAG